CAAAAACACCAGGCCCCACTCAAAAACTTTCAAGCATGTTTGCGAGTGGGGCCTTCATGGAAGGGAAGTCCCCAAACCTTCCCGACAAAGAGATGACTGATTCTGAGCCCGTCAGGTCAGCAAAAATTGGTCACGAAACTAAAATTCCTATCGAGCTTGCACCAGAAGCGAGCTCCTCAAGGAAAGAAAAGGAAGTCGTCCGAGAGAAGATGACAGAACACGCAGAAAATTCTGCAAGAAAATTCGCTGTGCCACCTTCCAAAAGCATAGCTTCGAGATCAGCACCGGAATATGCTCCGGAGCTACAATTAGTGATGGAGGCTGAAAAGCGTCGCACGACGCAAATAAAAGCCCGTCTAGCAATCTGTTCCACTGCAATAAGCAGTGTTGAAACAGCACTCTCGCCTCTCTCGATTGGCGACGAAAAAGAGTTTGTAGACGGTATCAAAGTCTACCTTCGAGCGGCCATTGGCCAGTTCGTACAATCAGGCCCAGGGAGCACTTCACCAACTCTCCCTGTCCGCCCCAGCAAGCCTCCTCCGCCGAGGGCTCTTGAAACCAGGGTACCTAACCGTTCTACAACCCAGGCTCCGGCCCAAAACACAACTTGGGCGAATGTAGCCCGAACAGGCGTTGGCCACAGCACCCGGCCATCAACGACAAAAGCAGCCAATACGAGGACAGCGGTCGACACACGACTGTTTCTACGCCTCGCACAAGACCAACCCCACCGACTCCTTTCACCAGCTGGCGTAAGATCAGTTGTCTCAGAGGCTCTCGGTTCCGCAGCCAACAACATCACGTTGGTTCAGCGGGTAAAGACCGGCTTTGCACTAGCAGTAAAGGATGAACTCGCTCGGAAAGAGCTTCTAGATTCCATCGCCGTACGGAGGGAATCTGGAATCAAACTAGAACCAGCATCGAATCTGGTTGCCCTTCAAATTGCCAACGTCCCGGAGATAATTCGAACTCTCGATGGCCCCACCGCCGTGACGGCAAAGATGGTCGCCGACGGAGTCACTCGAGTGACCAAATCGGTTCCTTTTCTTAAGCGTCCTCATAGGACCAGCAAACCCGGGGCGCCATACCAGAACTGGCAAGCGCTTTTCCCTCGCGAATCCACGCCTCGACCTGGATCTTGCCTCTTCGATAACTCCGGAGCTGCAAAGCTCTTCCAACCTCGTCGAAACATAGTTCAGTGCAAACGATGTCTTGGCTTCCATGCCTCACGCGGTTGCTCCCGCGCTCCGGCTTGCTGGAACTGCGGATCAAAAATGCACTCTAAAACTGAATGCAAAGCCCCCACACGGTGCCCGAAACTGTGAGGGACCTCATCGATCGGATTCGCGGTTCTCAAATGCCAGATCCAGCAAGTTCGGTCCGGTGAAAAAAGAGCAGCTTGCGATAATTCGCAAGGCTGAGCAGAAAAATCACGCAGATTTTACTCGCATCAGAGCTGCAGCCAAAATAGTCATTCAGGCGATTCACGGCTCAAAGAATGATAGGTATATGTCAGACGGATCGGGTTTTGGGATTCTGGAATCCAAAGAGGAGGTTTAAGGTTACGGCCAGCCTCAGTGAAGTCTTCGAGGCTCCAACACGTTAATAGTAGGACACCGTCTGGAGAAATTGTGCCTGTGAGCTCATCTTCTGCTCACAGCGAAGGTCAGAAATTGTGACATGGAAGATGTAACAGGAAAGGGAACAGGCGAGAAGCGCGGGATCCGGATTTGATCGGGATTTCTTCTAAATTTGATTTTAGTTTTGCTGTTAACACCATCATTTATGTGGAAGTTCACGCGGCTGGAATGAGTTGGGCCTGTATACTGTTATCCTTACCGGCTTCAGCGGTCCTGTAACAATAGCAGGATGTAGAGCTCTTTACTTTAGCTCAGTACTTAAAAAATTAAACAACAACAACAACTTCAAGAGAAAGGTTGTGATAAAATTACCACTTGTGTATTCCCAAAGTTAGCCTCGTGTAAAAAAGTCCTGGATAATGAAAACAATTTAGGAAATGATTACCCAATGACCCAGACCTTGATGACAGGCATATTTACGGAATGTTGAGACCTAATATATTCATTAATATTACGGGGTAAATAAGGTATGGGTCACATGTTTATCTGACTGTTAGTGGTCACCTGTTGGACAGGAAGTCTGCATGACATATTGTGATATGGAAGATCTAGGTCACATGATAGTGGCCTTCTGATATTAAACAAGAGGCGGGAAGACAGATCACTCGCTCAGTTTAGGACACGAGTAAAGGACACGAGTAGAAGACATTAGTGTTGGCTCTACAGAGCTGAATCACTCGTGGACTATGAATGGTGTATATGTGACTGGAAATGTGTATTGTAATTTTGTTAAATCTTTATTAGTATAACAATTGTTATTTCATTCCAACACGGAAATGGAGATGGTTTGACGTCCCTGCATGAGGGGATTGGGTATGTATATTTTTCTGAATCGGATTTAGATTTGGTATGCAGCTAGCTAGCTATGCAATAATATGGGAAAGTACAGAACAGATGTCTCAATTTGAAATAATAGCACTCATACCTCGGTATTCATTTGTAAGTATTATTGTAAAGTTATGTCAGCTTTTTCTTCACCCCAACTCAACCCTCCTCCGTGAGTACCCACCAAAGGGAAATTCAAAACCTTTGATTATCCGAGCATGCCCTCGTAATCCATGTGCACCAAGACCGCGAGAAATGTAGTTGTGTTCTGCCGGATTTGAAACAGCGGTCTCCTGTCAAGAGTGGGGCACATATCCTAGCTTTCAAGACCTTGAGAAACAAGCCAAGATGATGTAGCATTGTACCATCCAACCGCGGTGGTGTTTATAGTGTCGCCTGCATTCTCGAAACCGTAGTCTTGGCGCACGTATAAAGATCAATTCGTAAAACTCCTTGCCAAAATTCGGAATTTCACGCTCTTCGAAGTTATATCCTTCCTTTGCATCATCTTGTAAACTTCTCCTGATCCCCCTCACGTCCACCCCAAAGAACTGTCTCCCAGATTTGTGCGCCACGCTTTGATTCCTCCGTCGGGTGTAAATATCGGCGTGGGCGTGTATTTGGCGGTCAACTGAGGCCAGAGAAGGTCGAAAAGAGGTGTGGTCATTGGGATGAGGATGTACCAGGTCGTACTTGTAGACTTTATGAGGCATAGGTAGGCATCAAACTCGTTGGGAGCGAAAAAACGACGTGGAGGAGTAATTTGTATTTTTGCCTCGTAGGCCAACTTCTTTGATATTTCAAAATTTTACTGAACTTATCTCTGGGAGAATGTTTTACTCTCAGGTTCGTAGAGGACACCGCGTACAGGTGTTCAGTCTTGCCCTCCTAGATTGAATACTGTAACTACCTTAAAGCCACAGCTAAAGATATCTTTTCTCATCTATTTTTATAAGCTGAATCAGCACCAACTCGGCTTCAGCCGTATTGGAAGGGCTCGGATGCGTGTTTATTGTACTACTTGAGTCTTAGACTATCTTTCACATTGGGCTCCTCTCTGACCCAGGCCACACCTTGTACAGTGCTCCTATCCTCTTTTGCTACTTGAAAGATTGTTGATATATTCCCCTCGATGAATAGCCATTCAGCTCAGTGTTTACCCGTGGAATTTGGCCACCTTTTCCACGGAACCTTCTAGCCAAAAAAAATGGTAGCAATGGAAACTGCGTGTGCAGGAAAAAGTCTCAAAAAACCTGCAGCCCCAGCCGGGCGAGGCCTAGACACCGGGACCACATGAGGTGCGCATATTCATCTACATCTCCCTTCTTTGTAACAGTCGAGGTCGACTTGATCCAATCCACCATCGCCGTATCGGGTGCTGGGTATGCTCCGGAAATTCATCGGATAGCTTTTCCTCCATGATCAAGGGTTGATATGAGTAGGGCTCCGACCCTAGCATCTGATCCGACCGTGGTTGGCTTTATAATAATGGTGATAGGGGAATATGTAGAGAGATGAAGACGATAAAGACCGCGAAAGCGATTGGGAATCCTCATCAAAGTGAGGACTTTGTTCCTCAATTTCGGCTCTGCAGACTCTACAGTGAGAGCTGGAGGTTCGCAGGGGCACTACTGACAGGTGTTGAGAATAGTCCCCCGGCTCGGATGTGTGATGGAGTCTGAGGAATTTGTGCTTAAGTCCGTTAATTTCGGTCGCTCTGGATGATGTCAAAGATTGAACGAGATTTATAGACCTTCTAGTAGCTTATCCGTTCAAGCCAGGCTCTACTCAGACTCAAGGTCTTGAAGGAGTGCGGAGGCAGACTTTTTCCTGGCACGCTAGCATCTTCAAACAATTGTCTGCCACTCAATTTCTCAATCACGGTACAGCAAACTTCCCCACCTGTGGAATTGTACATCAATTTTAAATTTAGCTCGAAATTTCTCTCGCAGATTAGACAAGGAAGTGGAAAATTAGAAGAAGTCCAATTTGAAAAAAATCCTTCCATCCGACAGAAATTCCACGCAAAGTTGGTTCCTTGAGTAGAAGTATCCTTGGCTGCGTCGCATCGTCGAATAAGTCTTAACCAATTTGACACAATTTCCATGGAGGAAAGTATATCAGTATTAATCAGGTTATTTATTGATTGTTCAATGCCAAATTATATCTAAATTACTCTTTTCAAGAGGGCAGCTAATGCGCTCAAGATTGGTCATGATAATTTGAACTAGTATCGTGTTCCTATGCCCCAACTGAACCCGTCGTAGTGACCCACATTACAGACGATAATTTATTGCCATGACTTAAAGGATTTTTGTTTGTCTCATTACATTTGGCCAGTTATCTCAGTTTATAAAAGTTTGAAGGAGTTGGAGACCCACTGCAAATTGACAGGCTATGCTAATTGCTAGCATATTACCATCCATCAATGTAATGCCGTCAAGGCTCATTATGACTAATGGTCAAAGATGGAAAGTACAAAATCAATGAAATCTGTAGAATTTCCCTTGAGTCCTGTACGAGTGAACAATTTTCATGATGCGTTTTCTCAGTCGACCTCAAGTTAATGCTATCCTTATTTTGGCAACTCCTGTAATGCTTGTAGTAGCAGAGAGTGGAAGGGGCTACGAGTGTGAGGAAACGTTATTCAGACAAGCGGAAATTAACCAAGTGGCTGAAACCATGAGGGGCCTGATGAGATCGAATCCGAATGTTCCATGTTCTGATAGAAAAAAGCTAAACCTCCCCGAATGCGTCACAAATTGGCCTAAACCAGGTTCTGAGCTAAGGCACTCATTCCCGATCAAAAAACTCTCCAGATCACTTGAATATGGTGCGTTGATTCCCTCTAACAAACACAAATTCATGCTGTTGACCTTTAATTATTAGATGACGCAGGTCCATATCGTGTTTTGACTGATTTAAACGGTAAAGTCTCTACGTTGTTAATTGTCAATGAAGGAACATGGAAAGATTGTACTCCCGCCCTGATATACCCGTATGGTGATAAAATCAGTTATGAAATTGACTCAGAGGCCGATTATAAAAATGAAATTGACTCAGAGGCCGAATACAAAAATGAAATTGAAAGTTGTATTAGAAGATTCCAAAATAATTGTGGGTTCATCCAAAACAATCGCGCCAAGCTCAGAGATAATTGTGGCACAATCATAAATAATTGCGGTGTAATCGAAAATAATTACGGGCGAGTCGTTAATAATTATGGCATAATCGGAAAAAATAATGTGGACGATAGGAGTACTTCCAGAAGTAGATCCAGAGGTGACTTAAGCCAGGCGGAAAGCGTTGGAACTAGTTCCAGGGACATGTTTAGACATTACAGAACCTGGACAAAAAGTAATCCAAGAGGTAATTCCGGGAGCCACAAAAGCAGTACCAAAATCAGCCCAAATTTTTCTCTACAAAATCAGGGCGAATACGGAAGCGAACACCAAATTGGCTCGAGAAGAAGTTCCAATAGTCACAACAGAAATTCTAGAACTAGCCAGGGCAGTTCAATACAAGACCAACGTGGCTCTAGAGTCGACCCTGACATCGATCATGAAACCAGCTTTCGAAGAAATCCTGGAGGCATCCGAGGTAATTACAGGACTAGCCCGAGAACTTTCATGGAGAAGCAGGGCGAATCTGAAAGCGAATCTGAAAGCGAATCCGAAGGCGAACCTGAAATTAGTTCTGGAACGAATTTAATTATTTAGTTTGAGACTTTCGGAACCCAAACGCTCAGCTGAACAGGAGTAACAAGTGAAATTTAGGACAGATATAAAGCGCACCAGCCATATATTGTAGGTATACATAGTATAAGTTAATCAAACCATCTTCTCAGAAAATTTCTCCTTTATGTATTAGAAAAATTACAAGAGAATGGTAGGTTTTGGTGACACTGCGAGCCTAGCAGGTACCTTCTTCAATCCAATGGCCTTCTACACAACTAATGTAATCATCTATCTAGCTAACCAAGAACTGACTTCTAGGCTTCTTTTGTGATCACCTTCTACAATCAGCTTTAGCTTAATATGTTGGATTGGCTAAGGGGTAAGCTCAGAACCTATCGTATTCGGCCTAAATAGAGTGATAATGTTCTGTCTATTAAATTTGATTTCCTATCATATTGGGATTATATCTCCCACCCAGGGGGCGTGATATGAGCGCATAACTCTTACAGACTCCATGCTGCTTACGCGCCAGGCTTTATTAGCCCGAAAATCTCCGTGGACAAGAAAAGTTGAAAATAAGATTTGCGCCCAGATCAAACGCCCTGCGCCCAGTCTTACTTAGGTCTATCTACTTTTCAAGGACGACATGTCATAGTAAGCCTTTTCCACCTGTTTCAAAGTATTTGCCCTGTGACAGGCTGTTACGGTCACGAAGTCGAAAATTTTCTTCAATCAGTTCTCTGCCAGCATTCCTTTTGCACAGGATAGAACTCTCGCTTGGGTTCCCTCCATTTTCATGAAGCCTCTCGGCATCCAGCGAAGTGCCAAGTTATTTCCTCTCGTCCGCAAATTAAACTGCCATTGACGCCCTCATTTTTAGATCTTTCGTGGTAGTTGGAATAAGCTCCATGTCTCTTCTTAGCCACCATTAGCCTGTAATAGGCCCATATCGATAGTCTCAGCTTTGGTGTCCATCCCACATGTATCATAAATCCTCAATCTCTATACCTTTCAAACCTGGGTACCTGCGATCAGACCTCATCGCCTTTCTTGGGCTCTTTTGATAAACCTTTCTAGAGCCGCACAGGCCTTTTTTATTCCGAGACTTACTTTTAATATACCAAAATTATTGATATGTCTACCGGAATATCTCTTAGCGCTAACTTGGCTAGACCGACCGCTTTTTCATTTCCTGGAATGGCTGAGTGGCTAGGAATCTTCCAGACTTCGACCGACTTGTGCTGCCGTAATTGTTATTGATCAGAAAGTTTAGTAAAAGCTAGAGACCGTTAGATACAGACTGTATCCCTTGGCGACACGAGTTAGAAATTAGAATCTGTAGGTCTACCGAGGAGAGGTGATGATTACTCCCACTTGGACACAGAGTGCTACATAAACTATATTCTGTAGTAAGAAAATTTAGTTGTTGATTTGTGATTGAGTTTTGAATGAATTTAACGTTGTGCCTGTCTACTGCACATGACTAATGTCATGTGCTGGACGGCCCGACAACACCAAGAAATAACACTAGAGTCCAACTATCTGTCTACCGGTGGGCGAGGGTTGGACACCTGTCAGTGGTGTCCTCTACGAACCTGGGAGTGAAATAATTCTCTCAAAGCCGAGATTTAGTCACAAAAAAGGGTGAATTTGAGAGTTTTCGTCGAGTTGGCGATCGGGAGGAGTGGTGTTGGCTCATTTTTGGTCCAAAATTCGACTTGCAGAGATTTTACGACTGCACAACTCAACGAAATCAACCATCCACACCCCAGATACGAACCGCAGCCAGGCTATAACCTGTCTGATGTTCGTATTACAACAATCGACACCTTCACGGTTATATTTTTTTTTCTCTGGAAGATCATTCCTAGCCAAAATCATCTTGCGACCCTCTCCACAATCATCTCATCACCTTCCGAAGCAATCCCATACCTCCAAAGGTCAAATCACCAACAAGGAAGCAAGGGGATGTCCGACCCTACGCAACTGCCAGTCGCTGTGAAGGTACGCTCGAAATATCGGCCTTATATGCGTCCTCACCTCGGCCAAGGGCACCAACAACTCGACCTGCGACGAATCGCCACCGATGAAATACGTACGACATTTCGCCGGCACACCAACAGAGCGTTTGACAAAGGTTGGGGTAGCGGTGCTTCGGTCTTGGGCTCTCAGTCGCGTTTTCGACCTCAACGGTTAGGGGTACGGCAGTGATGGGGCAAGGCCGGAGGGTTGGTTATTCTACAAACTTTCTGGAATAACGTAATCGGCTGAAGGACAGAGGGATGCTACATAAATGAACAAAAAGGAATACAAACTGAGGAGGCCTAGGTGGGCGACTGGATGAGGCCTCCAGTGAAGAAAACGACACCTGGATGAGATGAGCCAAAGCTGGGACTGAATGGAAGGTAAATATTACAGATGGTCAAGGTGTCAAGGGCTCGGGCGCGTGGTGACCGAGGCCGAGGAGGGATTTGCCCCTCGGCGCGTCAAAATAGGGTTCTCTGGACGATTGGGCTTGACATGATCGGATCAGTTGAAATTGTTGAAGAATTTCCTCAGCTATCATCCATCCCCCGCAGTATTGGAGAATCATCTAATTCTCCTCCGACCACGTCAGAACCGTCGGAGAACGCTGCACCAAAAGCAGCGTCAAAATCAGCGTCTCAGCCAAAAACTGCCACGAAAGCAGACTGCCCGCCCAAACTATGACCCATTGTCGAAGCCGAGTAACGACGCGCCGCCATTGCGCAATATATGGCCACGGGCCCGGCCACTACGCCACCCGTCCTCCCTCCTCGCCCGGCGAACACAATCCCAAGGGCTCCCGACGCCAGGAGTACAACAATTCCCGCCGTCCTAGTGCTGCCTATCAAAAGCACCTGGGCCACGGTGGCCAAAAAGGGTGTTCGGATTAGGTCCTGGTCAGCGATGTCTAGCCTAATTGTGCTATGTTGCAGGCTACTGTTCCAATTATTCATGGGGTCATCACCAGGGTTGTGAGTAGTTTCGGTTTTGGTGTGGGCTGTAAGATTGATACCTGAGCGTGTCGCATAGTAGTCAGACAGGCGACTAGAGTAGTGTTGTGCTGGTGATGCTCAGGATTACGATGCACAAGGGTAATGATCACCGAGGGTGAAGGAAGAACTTTCCAGGTGGCTCCATGATGAGTAGAGGAACAATGAAGCACTGTATAGAAAGTGTTTCTAGATTGTACTACCAGATGGAGGAGACTAGAATATTCCGTGATACTGTTTTGAGTAAATAAGGCGAGAGTCTAGCTACTTCAGATGTGTATATAATTAGCGCTTTCTACCTCCTAAATCCTCATAGTTCTGAATATCAAATATATCAGCAGTTCACATTGATTCATCGATAATCATTCGTAAACCTTCTGCCAATTAACCTCCGTAAGCTCTTACCTTTACAACAAGTAGCATATGCACGGTAAACCTCAGCCCTAGACTGATGATACGAATCAAGTTTTATATGCTACGTCCTGTATGGCTAGTGTGGTTGGAATATGGGGAATTTACCAGTAGATAGATAAAGACGTTGTAGCCCTCTGATAGTTGGGACAAGTCTTCTACAATATTATATCGGAATCAATACTAGCCTCTCATTAAGCAATCTCATGAATTATTTCCAATGTCTGTGATAACTGACATACATATACAATATCGACGATCAAGTTTAAAGTCGATATAAGGGACTGCGACAAGTAGCAGTCCCTACTCCAAGGCTATGCTACGACCTGCGGCCAAAGCCCAACATAAAGAAACCCCCACGGTGAAAGTCGACAAACCACTATTCCTTCGCCTTAAAAAGGACCACCCGTGGCCAAAACTGTCCACAAGTAGCGTGAGAACTACGTTGGAGTATTCATTCGGCTACTATAACCAAGAAATAACCTTGCTCCATAGAGTGAGAACCGGCTTTGCTATGCTAGCAAAGAACGACACAATACGACAAGAGACGTTAGATGGCTCTTCGAAGCTGGCGAGTGAAAACGTCAAACTCGAGGCATCTTCGGATTTTGTCGCCTTACAGATACCGAACGTATCTGTAAGTATATTTACAGTGTGCAGCCCCAGGGCGGTCGATGCCAGGTGGGTCTCCGCTAAGATTCACAGTACGACCGGCGCGCTTCCAATCCAGGTCCGACCTCATGGGCCATGTTGACCTGGAGCACCGTATCAAAACTGGCATGCTCTTTTTACGCGGGACAATGCCCCTCGTGCGGGCTTCCGCCTCTTCGACGAGTCTGATAAGGCTACTATTCACAAGCCTCGTCGCCAAATTGAACAGTGTAAACGCTGTTTGGGCTTCCACGCCACTCGTAGTTGCTCCCGCGCTCCAGCCTGCTGGAACTGCGGATCAACTATGCACTTGGAAGCCGAGTGCAGGGCCCTCACAAAGTGTCGTAACTGTGGAGGACCCCACCGATCGGATTCTCGGGCCTGCCAAGTCAGACCTGATAAATCCGGACCGGTGACAAAAGAGCTGCTCGTGTGGATTCGCCAAATCGAGCAAGAGAAGTTCGCGAAGGTAGCATGAGCCCGGGCTGCAGTCAAAATGGCTGAAGAAGCGATCAGCGCCTCAGCGAAGGATGTCTCCATGGCTGGGGATCAGGTTTCAGAGTGCTGGAATCTGAAGAAGAAGCCTCAGGGAACAGCAACCTCGACGATGCCTTTAATAGGCATCTACTAACCAATAGCAAGATACCGGCTGGATTGAAGGTGCCTGCTAACCCATCTTTTGCTCTCAGCGGAGATTGGGTAAATTTGTCATTTGGAAGTTGTGACGGTCGATGAAATGTATGCGGAGCGCACTGCTTGTGTCCAGCATGGAGGAATCTTCTGCCTTTTAGAGTTGTTTTTGTTGGAAATTCTGACTCTCGAATTTAGGACTCAACCTGTTATATTAACTAGGCTATATGGGAGCAGGACGATGGATACTCTTGGGGAAGTTATGCTCACAGTAGGTCTCTATAGTCGCTGTCGCGTGTGTTCTCGTGATATGTAAGACTTGACTCTATATTCTCGTATAAAGGAAACTTAGTTACAAATGAGTAGACGGAGGTTAAGACCTCCTTATATCTTGCTCCAGACTTACTGTGTTATTCACAGCCTAGTGCTAGAACATTCCCTTATGATATCATTTCTCTCCTACGAGAAATGACCAGCTCGTTCTCTCTCAGTCCATCAGTCTCTCGCTGATTCCGTTATCTCTATTCCATCTAGTTCTAGTTTGGTCCAGTATACTCACACATGCATCACACATGCATTACACACTAAACACCCTACGGTTTAGTTCCACAGTCACGTGCATATGCTATGACGCGACCTAAAGCATGTACTATGGTAAGTTACATGGATAACACAACACAACCACTACCTGTTTCGTCTCAGGTTCCCGACAAGATCGACTCTCTCCACACATGTCACGAGTGCGCTAATCGTGCCTACTGTTGCATTTACAATTGGATATTTACGTACTACAGTGTACCTTGGATCATCATGGTAGATGAGAGGTGGCTGGTCATCACTAGGTTTGACAGGCACATGAGACTAATGGGGGAGGGCAAGACTGAACACCTGTACGCGGTGTCCTCTACGAACCTGGGAGTGAAATATTCCCCCAGAGCCAAGTTCAGTCAAATTTCGCAATATCAAAGAAGTTGGCCCACGAGGCAAAAATTCAAATTACTCCACCACGTCAATCTTTCATTCCCAAAAAGTCCGATTCTCGACTAAGCTTCATCAAGTCTACAAGTACGACATAGTACATCCTCACCCCAATGATCACACCTCTAGTCGACTTTCTCTGGCCTTAGTTGACCGCCAAATACACGCCCACGCCGATATTTACACCCGACGGAGGAAGCAAAGTGTAGCGCACAAATCTGGGAGACAGCTCTTTGGGATAGACGTGAGAGGGATCAGGACAAGTTAATAAGATGATGCAAAGGATGGATACAGTCTCAACAGGCGTGGAATTTTGAATTTTGGCATGGAGTTTTTACAAATTGAGCTTTGTACGTGACAAGACTTCGGCTGCGAGAGTGCAGGCGACACCATAAACACCGCCATGGTTGGATGGTGCGGTGGTACATCGTCTTGTTTGGTCTGCCAAGTAGAGTCTGGATAGCTTGGACACATATCCCACTTGAGACAGTAGATCGCTGGTTCAAATCCGGCAAAACACAACCATATTTCTCGCGGCGCTGGTGTGCATGGATGACGAAGGCATGCTTGTATAACCAAAGGTTTTGAAATTCCCTTTGGTGGGTACCTACGGAGGATGGTTGACTGTTTGTGTAAGCAAGCATACCTCATAGTGGTATTTGCGAATGAAATCCAGAGTATGAGTGTCTCTAACGTCAAAAGAGTCATCCAATATGTAAACATAGCACCGGTCATGTGTCATAGCTCTGTAGCTGAATACACATTAAATGATTTTAAAAAAAAAAAAGTCCAATGTTCACATAGTTGTAAAATATCAAGTCTTCTTTACTTCATCATATTTATCCATATAATATCGTACAGAGTATATTTTCCAAAAGTTTTGATTTTGGGGGGGTTTCTTTTTCCGTTTGTGTTTCTGTTTAATCAGCTGCATTTTAAGCAGCAATTCACGAGGCTGGAACGAGTCTAGGCTGTAGGAAAAATTACAGGGAACCTTGTCGGCTCTACCGGTCCTTACCTGTTGTGGATAAAGAGCCTTAGCTTTTTATGAATTTGATATCATTTAGTCCGATTTGGCGCCTTAAGGTCCATGTAGGTGTCTATGAGCTCTAATATATATATAGGAGGAAACAGTAATATGTTGGGTTCGGGGCTGTGGGAGGTTGCAAGTACTCTATTGTTTTCTCTCTGCGACGCGTAAATACACGACCACCGCACTACTAGTTCTAGTTACATAACCACATTACGTAACCCGCTACATCTCTGAAACCTCTATGGTATAAACCCCCTCAACTTTTCAATTTGTATACACTTTAACGTTGTATTACCTTCAAGAAGTGCACTAATACTGTTATATCCAGTGCGGATACCGTCCACTTCATTGCTACTGGCAGGATATCATCTTTCCCCTGCTATCCTCTCTCTCCCTCACCGTGGTCTCGACTTCAAGCGTCAGTCGAAACTGCTCTAGCTTTCTTTCCTGCTGGATCCACTTTGTAATTCTTGCAACATCTTTCGGGTTATTCATCATCGCTTCGAATGACCGAGACTCTGCCCTTCTCAGTATCTCCCCTCTCCATTTGGCCCAGTTTGAGCAAGCTATAATCATATGCTTGACGTTCTGGGACGGATATTCACATTGGCACTTGGATTGTCCACTACTGAAACTTTTCTTCTGTGTAGATAGGAACTGGACCCGATATGTTCGCTCTTCATCTGCATAGCTTTGCTACTCTAGGCCCTGCTCAGGTGTTTGTGGATACTGGAAGATGTTCCACTTTGGTTCCTTCGAGTCATTCCTGATTTATCATGCACTAACTCTATTACTGAGTGTACTCATGGGGCAGTTGGCCAGGTGCAACACAATATCATAGAGTTGGTCTGTAAGATTATGATGCGATGCAACCACTACATGTATTGTACATTGTATCTGATGGTTTTGGAGTGTTTACTCTCAAGACTGTTGTCTATCGTTCTGACAGTCGAGACTGCTTTTCTCAACCAACCTGTTCCAGTCCAGTAACCAAGGAGCAAATAGTTACCATACAGAAGGCCAGTCGAAGATAGTTTGCTGCAGTGGTTCGAGCGCAGGCTGCTGCGACTAGGGCCAAGACAGGAAGTCAACCTGCCTCTAAAGATGCGAAGATGTCGGTAGGAAAAGGCCTCATCGCCTTGAATCCTAGGAACAGACGTGAGACGCCTGGAAGAAGTCGATAATGGCTTGCAAAGGATTTTGAAGTGGGACTGACAAATGTGGCGGAAACCCGTCAACTTATCTCCAGCTCTTGGCAGAGATAGAGCAAGATTGTCATTTGGAAGATGTGACGGAGTAGAGCGTACACGAGAAATACTTTACTTAGATCCAACGTGAGGGAATTATCTGTTTTCGGAGTTGTATTGGGTTTCTTGTTTTTGGTTTCTGATTTTAATGTGCTGCAATTTTGGGAGCGATTCACGCGGTTGGAACGAGTTGGGTTTGTATAAAAGACCATAGAAGTCTCTACCGGCCCCTTCGATCCTGTTTCCATTGTGTGACTTTGAGATGTAGCTTAGGACTTTAAAAATACAACTAGTACCAGCCTTGGAAGGCTCTTACTAACCATCTTTTCTAAGGTCAGCATCAGCTCTTCTTTTGGCGATTTGATCAGCTTTGATCGTAACACCGTAGCGCGGGCTTTGAGAACTTTAAGGGCCTTGTTAGCTTCCTCTATTAGTGTCGTAGTTGAGTTGACTACCTGTCACTAGTTTATCCCATAACTTGTTGTAAGGAGCTCATGTATTATTTAGGCTATCCATTTTAACGCCTGTAGGGTTGAAGAGAGATTCTATAGCCTGATCACGGCTGTCTCGTTATGCATTGGAAGTTAAGCTGTTGTCACTAAAATGATTATACCCTCAAAACTCATATTCCAGCTCCCCAAATCTCCATATCGAGGCACTACGAAAAAGATCGAGAATTAAAATAAACACTGATAGACAATAGGAAGTAGTGTAACGATGAAATGATGTTCGTGGAAAGTGAGGTCGATCTTAACCAAAGTTGATTTCATTATCCTGGTATGGTGCTTTGTGGGCCATTGCAGATATCTATGAACTTCAATATTTTCATGGTGAGAAGTCTCTCGGTGGAAACCCCCAAACCTTTCTGTTTGATGTCTTTGGTTTTCTTGCTTGTCCTTCGGGAAACGCAGTCATGACATAATGCCATCCATGTAAGCCAATTATATCCTTTCTATTGACCCCAAGAATTTCTTGGCCTGGTCCTCTCCCTCATAAGCATTTCGACTGCCTTTGTCATTTGGAATTACTCTATCCAACCATGATATAATATTCTTTGTGTAATCACTTTGATGTCACAAAGATTATTTACCATGGCTTCCAAGGGCCAATTCTAGGCTTGTCCACATCTCTCTCCTATACCATTTGACCATCGTGGGTAGGGAATGATCATATGCTCGGGATTCTATGTTTGCTAGCCACATATACAGCTTGAGCTGTAGACTCCAGATACTTTTCATTTGTGTAAATAAGAGTTGAGTCCCATACTTTCAATTTAGATTTGAGTTGCAGAGCTATTTTCAACTATTATAAGGATTCAGTGAAGAGAAAATGGCGGTTATTGAAGACTTATTTTACACTGCCACGAATATTGGCTTCTATTGGGCTTGAATGCTCTCCAGGTTTCGGGTCTGCGATCAAGAGTTATCATGGTTGTTGAATACGTGTTTGGTTTGTCCAAGATTTCGCTCAATCTTGCTTTATCGCGACCTTTCCTGCGTATTTTGGACTGACCCTACCCGCAGATTCTTAGCGAGGGTGCTAGATCAAGTGTTTTCCTTGTTTAGGAAGCTTGAATTCTCCACAGGTAGATTAAATTTTCTTCTTGATTTGTATGACAATTCATGAAGTTTTTCTATTTGAATCCTTTCTGATGTTATTAGTCAACAAGGGATATTGATACGGAAAGAGCATGTGTGAGTGGGAGATGCGGCTAGTGCGTCTATGCCCTGCTAGCTCCTGCACCTTTGACCGGCGCTCCAAAATGAATATTTGCCAAATTGATGGACGCCAGTGATATGTATATTGCGTATCTGCAGCGGGATCGAGATAAAAAACAACAAAATGAAGGTTCATTGAACTACCTCGACTATGGCTTGAGCCCCAAAATTATCTGTATATCTCACTTGCAGCCCAAGCTGAGTCAAGATTTTTAGTTACCCTATTAGCAGTTTTGGAAGGCCGCAACAGCACTAGGCCCAGGAATCCCGTGGATAAAATGCCACCGCTATCACTGCGACAAGAATTTCCTACACTTCGACATTTCAAAGAAGCTCTCCACGTCTGGGCCATCGAAGCACATTTCGAGCCACGCATCCTCAAGTCCGACACGGGCCGTGTGCGTGTCGGCTGTAAGCGTGATCCCAAGTGTCCATTCGTGGTGCGCTGCAATTGGGAACGCAAGAACGGACGGGATCCTCTTGCCCGCATCACAGTCTTAAAGGAACGACATACATGTCTCGATGGGATGGAATGGAGAGGTGTGCCAGTAAATGCAGCTCTTAGGCAAGAGCGTACCCTTGTGGCGGCAAGCACTCACGACAGTGTTTTATCTCCGTCGCCACCACCCTCTTTATTAGGACAGCATCAGCAGCAACAAGAAATTCAACAATTAGAGATTCATACTGACCCCTCGACTGGCTTTATCATAGGTGGAGCGCGCATTGTTGGTTCACTTCCACCACGACAGCCGCGAATATCACCTGTAGACCCTTCAACTGTGCCGATAGCTCCAAAGGTCCACCGAAATTCTGCCAGCCGGCTACAATTTCTGATTGAAATTATACCGCGTCTAATGGAAATATCTTTAGAGACGGCACCAGCTGAGATTCGCGAGTGCCTTATGCGGGAGTATGGACAAGAAGTTAACGTACAACAGTGTCGTAGGGCCAAAATTGAGATCCTGAAACGACAAGCAAGTAAGAAGGGAGGAATGAACGAAAGTACACGACCTATGATAGAGAGTGACTGTGATGAAAAAGAAAACCCTGAAAGTACTAGTGACAAAACTGGATCGACCAACACTGGTACCTTCACCAGCTACCTATCCAGTGTTCCTAGTGTCCCCTTCACCACTGCACCCGATTCCCATGCACAAGCTAAAAATGGCGCTGGAGGTATAGAACTAGATGTCAATCTTCAGGTTAACAGTAGCGAAAAACTGAATAGAAGCAGCAACCCGATTAGCATTAGATCTCCCGCCGAGGCCACTACTGATGATGTGAGCCCTCCACGACAGTTCCCTTTGCACGCAACAAGTAACGTCGCAATTTTGCCCTCAACTCCAATACCACCGGCCGTAAGTATGGTGGCATCAGAACCACCGGTTCGTTGTCCATACTGTGTGAATCATAGATATATGCGAACAGTTCGGGAAGCTGTTGAGCATATGAGTATGCATGTCGTCGTTTAAAGTTTGTGCAAACAAGTGGTCATGTATACCTGATGCGAAGACCATTCTGTGCCAGATACGGAAGTAACAATTTAGGCTGGGCAACTGTTAGGGGAAGGGTAACGTTTTCGACCGGGAGATATCTGCCATGCAGTGATCTTGAACTAAGATCCTATCCTTGGCCAGGGATTTTTCTTTTTCGGATATTTGGTCCGATTTTTATATGACTCTTATGTTATCTAGCATAACCTGTTATTCTTTCTATTGTACGGCTGATATCTCTACGCGGCCTAACCCACTCTTTGACCCGGTTTGGCATCGAAGTAGTACATATACCATGAATCACTTTATTTTCTAGGAGCTGACTTTTGACTAGACAGCCCAACTAAAGTAAGCACACATTTATTCGATTACAACTATTATATGATCATATGCTCGGTGGCAAACAAACTTTCAGCAGATGAACGATTAACGTTTGTTAGACTTAGATGATCGAGGCGAAGGTGTATCCTAGCTGAAAAGACTCTTGCAGTTTGGTCAGCGTCCAAGCTGGGGTTAATAAATATAAAGGAACCTACAATCTAGTTACTCAGACGCTACCAGAAACGTACCAGTGCTGTCTTTGAACCGGGAGGGAGCTCAATCCACATCTTAGGGGTAGGAATGAAAAGCCTGAGAAACCACAGAAACCGTGCCGTGATTAAAGAAGCTTTGTTGACGCTATTACATCGCGCGAGAATTAATGGGAATTTCCTGAAGCCTTGTCCATTAGGTCCGATTCTTGATGTCACTAATCCTCTAACTTCGTCTACCTTTTAGCGTGCCAAGACCAATAAACAAATCAAGAAACATAAATTCTAAACACTAGCAAAAGGTCCTAAAGATTCAAAAAGCACAGCAGTGAAGTCTCTAAGCTCGAAGCGGTTAACGGCTTCTCTTTATGAATTAATCATTTACTAGCAAAATGACCAAATATTCTCTTTCCGAACTCATGTCCACCAATAGACACATGTTAGACTACGGAGACTTTGTATCACGGAGATGAATTGAACTTTCTAGATTTGCAACTGTTGTAACTAAATTTGAAAAATAATTGTAGTACTAAAACACTTCACATTTGTATGGCATGCATTTGCGCCACGAAAAACGATCAACCCACATCATTACTCACTAGCATTAACAATAATAGTTCAAGCAGTCGATTAGCTTAGGATCTCCGTTAACCTTCTTATTTAGGTTACATGAGGAATACGCTAATTAGTATAAATCCCCCATTTCATGTATGTCGAGGGGCATCTCGCCATACAGTCAGATATATACGAGGAAGTAAGCAGTTTAATCACAATAAGCTTTCTATTAATCATCAATAGAACTTTATGGAATAGTAAACACATCATTATACTTGGTATGTAGTAATATTTCTTCTATGGAAATGTTCTCATTAAACTTCCCATTAGCAACAGGCGATAGACTTCCAGAAAGTCTAACCAAACAAGCGTAACGAGGTAGATATTCTTGGCTGTTGAGTTGGATTATTAACTGTCAGAATATCACCAGAGATTGCGGAGAGTTTTGTTCATTTCAATATTTCTCCAATTATCAGCAAGCTGAGCAGTGGGTGAGCCAGTATAAGTTGTCTGAATTACCCGGCTGCTGCATACTCTCAGATAATGCTCGTTAGTTGGCTGAAGAGGCTAGATATTGATGAAGCAAACACATCGCGAAGTATGGGAATGAATGAGAACGCGGGAGAGGCGATATTTTTAAAGGGATTGTAAACGAAGCCGGAGAGAATCATTCAAAGCATGCTTATCCAGTGAAGATTGAGATACATTATATCCCAGACCTGCGGGCCCTCTACTTCGTCTAGGTTACTGACATGATGTTTTGCATCGCCTTAAAATTGGAGTATAAGATGTAGCGCTTCGGGCTATCTAGGAATCCATGAACAGCTGTATGGCGGAGCACAAGGAGTCTTGGGGGGCTTAAACCTAGATGGCCCGAGAAAAGGGCTTGGGTTACTCAACCTTGCACTTATGGCGTACAGCTCACTTTCTTCTGGCAGTAGCGTCAACACTACAAGCTTTCGACAACTTCACCTTTCTTTACGCAAAGATTGTGCCGACCTCCGTGCGCAATGCTTGCAACACCTCTACCGGCGGAGAGTCTAAGTTACGGTTTGACCGTTTTCTGAGCTGAGTAGAAGTAAGCTTAATATTGAGGATTATTGCGACAAGACTGCATGGGAGGGAGTCGAAGCTGAACGAAAAAGTACTACTAATCAGGAGGCTGAACGTTATCACAACTTAGTGAAACCTTGATATATGTCGCTGGGTATAAAGTATTGTATCTAAGGACAAGTCACTAGTGTGGATTCACGAGGGTGATCAACTCTTATAAATACCTCTTAGTAGTAGCTAGAGTTCTATTTTCTCCTCATGTTGTTTAAAAAATCTATCTATTCATCACCAACTCGGTTTCCGTCACAGTCTAATGCAACAAAAAATTTGCTTGCAGGATTACAACCAGATAAAGCAACTCGTAAAAAGGCTAAGGCCGTGTCCTCCGTACCGCTGGGAGCTTGTATCGAATGGTCAGGGCACGGCGAGCGTTGGGAAAAGGTAGACTGATTAGTCTAGACGCGCGATCGACGCCGTCGCCAGCAGAGCCAAACAAGAGCCTCGATCGGGTCGGCAAAGAGAGACGCGACCACTCGACAGCGATAAAAGCTCTTAGTCTCGCGCGAAATGTCTACCGTCTTTCCAGCGGTAGAGCGGTTGAGGCAGACCTGCCGGTCATGACACCGGCTAGATGTATCCCGCTTCTCCTACCCTGACACTACGAGGAAGTGCATAGACTCAAGTAATACAATAAAAACAACACACACACACATACGAGGAAGTGCGAGGAGGCCGCGCCGCTTAATTGGTAGGTTAGGGAGTTGGGTGAAGCCGTGGAAAGCTAATCTGGCCGCAGAGCTACGCCTGGCCATTGGCGACGTCGATACAGAAAGTTCCCACCATCGTGCAATTAGTATTATTGGATCTTTTATTGCCATTTCTTACCCCATGAATCTATAGGGAATGCAAGTCCTCTCTGCCTACAGGCCCAGAATCCCTATGCCTCTCGTGCGGCTCCCCTCGCAAGTCTTCATTTGATCGTACACTGCGTGTTGTAATTTATAATAGTTATGGGAGTGTATGAGCTATGAGATGTCATATGAACGAAAGTGAGTGTGGTAAGCAAAGCACAGTGAAGGGTTAGCCGAAGCGCACGTGCAGGGTATCATGAACACTTCCCTTGTTGATATAGGATAAACAATAGACACCTCTTCCATATAGATCATTAGCAGATTTAATTTTCACATATTCCTACCTTTTCTGTCCGACATATTATCAAGGTCTAGACTCTGAGTAGTCATATATAATCTCATAACCACAATATTGCGGAGCCCCCTGTACTCTATCATCTCCCCTCTCCAGCCAACTAAACGTTTGCCATTTGCGCGTGTATGGCAGCCGTAGAGACCGCGAGAGCTATTGCTTGCGGAATTTCCCAACACCGACATCTGAGCTAAATCTACAATCACTGCCTCAGCCTTGCGCATGTTCGATGCTGCGTTCGGGCCGGCGCTCGTCTCTGACCCGAGGCCACGAGTCTGGGGACCAGGCGGTGATGCTGTGTCTCAGATGTGGTCCGTGCACACTAGGCTGGCTAGCACGTCTCAATAGAATTATCTCTTCAGCGAGATTCGATCTCTCTCTCTCTCTCTCTACGCTGGGCTGAAAGATTTTCATCCGAGCGTGGGATGAGGGCTAAAGGAAATGCTACCAGCTTAAACCTACCTCTGCGCCGTTGCGTTGCGAAAAGGGGCGTAGCTTGCTCATCTACCAACAGATACCAAGTCGTGGACAGGCTCGACGGCCCGGCGAGAGGAGCAGGGCTGGGGGCGAGAAGTGTATTAAATTGATGTAAATATTATCTAGAGCAACCCCAACGCCATGCTCCTGAAATCCTCAGGCACCCAATTCTCGTCTGCACTGCATCATTATCAGATAGGTCTTCAAAAATATACACGATCTCGGATCAAAGCGTTAAGATTCCTCCTAGTTCCTCTCTACCGACGTCTCACCATGGATAACCTCATCTACCAGATGATACCGCGCCTTGTTCCCTCTTCCCGGATGCGTGATGGTGCCAGCCGAGTTGGCAAACGAGGCCTCGTACTCTTCGGATACCGGCGACGCTGGGACGGTGCTGTTCTCGTAAAAGTCGCATTCACTCGACGACGAACTTTCGGGCAACCAATCGATAGCTGATGGAGAGTCGTCTGTATTTAACATGACGGGAAGACGCAGCAGAGACTGGCGGTCCGATGATATTGCGAGACCAATTTCTGGCTCGGGGTTGAGCGATCGATCTTCATTCCGAGCACCAGTGTTTGTCCGAGTCTCATGGGCGTTTTCGTCGGTTTCTGAATTGTCTATAAACAATGATTGTAGCTGTCTAGACTCTTGTTGGTTGGGTGAAATATAAGGCGGAGGTTGAGGGAGCGAGGCTCGTGGAGCTGGAAGGGTAGAACGCGCAGCGCGATATGATTTGGGAAGAACGGTCTTGAGGGGAGACATGATTGAAATAGTTTCGAGGATCCGCAGGCCTCGGGAGATATCGGGATTCGACCTGTAATCGTAGATTAGCATTCAACCACAACAAGAGAGGATCTCGTGTCAGGGAATACCTTGGTCGTACGCTAGCCACCTTCCGCCCCCGTTTCCGACGGCGACGACAAAGCCAGAGGCCCAAGGCGACGATTATTGCTGCGCCATTGACGGCAGCTATGATGATTCCAGCAATGGCGCCAGGCGGTGGACGTTTAGTCTCAGAACTGGCTGAAGCAATGGAGCTAGCCGACGCCGTGTAGACGGGTATTGTGGGAAGGTGAGAAGTACTGAGTGGGAGAGAGGTCGCCGATGATGTTGTGGTCGAGGCCGTGAGGGTCGATTCGGAGGTAGCACCAGCAAAGGTTATAGTGGAATAGACGAGATCAAGCACAAGATTAGTTGGCTGGCCAGAATACGTGGTCTCGACCTGTGCAGCCCAAGCCGATTCTCCACAGCCGTATTGATAGTAGCCCCCGGCATATGTATTCCGATAGCATTCGCTGTTTGCTGAACTGATTCCCGCGTATTAGTGCTGGCCACGCGTGCTTGATCTAGTTCTGAACGTACCATGTGTAGACGCCATTGCTTTGAATGCCTCCTGGCGCTGACCATCCCATGCTATTGCGGTCCAGACAACTCGTGTAGATTCCGGCCGAGCAAGAACCTGATGTCCCACAACATCCGACGTACTGGTGTTCTACATCACGAACACATGTCGACCCGGCAGAGCACAGCGCCGGTGCATCTGCGCGGCCTCCCACCCATCCACATATCGAGGCGTCTACGGTTTTCTGCTCCAATTTTGGATTGGCAGTTGGATTCGCACTGGGTGCAGGAGTCTCGGCGGGAAAGATCATATCAGGCGGGGTTCACGTAACTGAGAAGTAGAAATCTGGACGCGAAATTGATTGTGGAAACTCGACATCTAAGATGACGCTTGAACGAGAGGAGAGTTTAGAGATTTGAACGGCTCAAGCGATTCTTTGGCATGCTGAGTTTATTCGAAATTTCCTGGTGGCGTGGGTGGCGAGTCTCTGGGAGCTAGCGGATGATGATTGACATGCCAATGTCTCTAGTGCCTTCAACCAGGACCTTAGATTTTGAGGCCGGGCCTACCTCATCTATCCTAGCCCTAGTACATACGCTTAACCCTCCATTCATCTCACCCCTAGAAGATATCTCGACACCCTGGAGCGCGACAATAAACAGATGAGCCTCCCCGTGCTGCACATGGAATCTTAATTGTTGGCAGTAGATGCGCCGCTGTCTCGGGATGGGCGAATTCAGGCTTATGCTCGCAACACGGTGGGTTGGAGGTGGTCGTTCACGGGTGTTGGTGATGATGCGGCGCGAATGCTCGCCCGATACGCGTCTTCGGCTGCTCTTGCGAGATCTTCATGACACATTTCTTCTTCTCCCTTTACCTCACCAAATTTATCTGGTGAGGGCTGTCTCGTTGGATGAGAAGGCAACCAACCAGTTTCAATCCTTCTCCCCATTATGATGAGCCAACAAAGTCTTAGCCTGTTCTTCAGCCTGCGTGTAGCTAGATGTGCCAGGCAAAGCTCTTACTATTCATCTGTCTCATCGATGGCGGAGATTACCCAAAAACAACATCATAGCGCAAAATGATCTTCACTCACCCCAGCGGATGACTAGGACCAGCACTTGGCGCCATGCTTTATGTGCATATTTCGATGAAGATCTCGAGCAGAGACTTCGTCTGACTTTAGTGCCCTTTTTGCTACCCTGGCCTACGAGCTCTTGGCGATGATATATGCTTCTCGACAATAAGCTTTAGGTACTATTATTAGTAATATAGCCCTCTGGACCACAACCCAAGCCAGTCGTCTCGCCACCACCGACAAGAATAAACGCGTCAGAGGGGGGAGAGGAGGTCGCCAGTCACCGGTGGCGATGGCTAATTTTGACAGAATGGTTGGAATGGAAGAACACAAATGACCGCCCCACTCCCGGACAGTAGAGCGCGACCGTCAGAGAGGGGAAGGTAAACTCTTCTCTCGGTGACATGCGTAAAATACGATACGAAGAGACAATGATCCGACGTGATTTTCCATAGGTCTCGGTGATTCATCTTGGTTAACAGAAAAAGTGATGAAGGCCGTAGGGCACAAATGTAGTCAGACAAACCACGTCACTTTTGTTGGTTGGAGTTTCTCGCAAGGGCAGCCTTTCAGCGTAATTATTAGGGTTTAACAAGTCGGTGATTCAGACAAAGCTCATCTTCAATGTGAGGAGTACATTTTCCCAATAATACCACCATACCGCGGAACTGAGGTCTTCCTTCTGATGTCGTGACCTGTGAGGGCTAGGGACATTGTGAGAGAGCTGTTCGAGTGGTCCTATTGGCTACACCGATTGAAGGATGAAATGTTTTGGGATCATCTCCACAATCCAAATACTGACCCGTCCTGCAGAATGGCGCAGGTGAAGCTTCGGTACCTAGGACGAATCTTTCGGACAACCTCCTCTATACTTCTTGCCCGGCTTCGTTGTGGATCTAACGCACATGGCCTGCAGGATATACAGCAGGCCTTTGGTAGTTGGCTGAGGCGGAATAAGGGAGTTTCGGGATGGCCCGTGTGTGTGCGAGAGAGCATCGCCACCCAGAGTACGTGTTGTTGCATACGCGGAGGTGCCACTAGTTCTTAAGTCATGAAACGGAGCAGTCGCCCAGGTCTAGCAATATATCACGGAATGGCCGCGACCCACCTGCAAGAGAGGCGGTCGCCATCTTCCCTGAAACGGCCCGCGTGTCGAGCCCCAGTACTAAAATGTCTTCATCCAGGTCCAATTCCGACGCGCATGATCGAGCGGCGGATCCAGCCAATTGCCTGCCGAACATATCACACTAGCTTGGACTGCGGAATGACGGCGAGCCTTGAGTACATCCCGAATCCGAATCCTGTGCTGAAATAGGATACTGGTCACTCGGGTCCCGCGAGCATTATCACGGTAAGCTCCCCTCCGAGAATGATAGTTATGATATGCCTACTGACCCAAGCGCCTTTATTGCGTTCCCGCCGCAGGACACTAAGGCTTGCCATTGTGTGGACGTCGGCACAGTCTTACTTCCCAAGAAAGACCTCCGACCCAGGCTAGTTGGACAGCCCACACATCGCAAAGAGGCGGGTCGAATCAGTGACTACAACTGAAGCCAAATTGGTCACATCTTCATCGGGTACATGAACTCAAGTTGATCACCCATTAAGTCTCTGTTTCCGATTTGAAATGTTCTACACATCGAGTCCCACACTTGTAACTTCTTCAACTCGGAGTTATGGGCGAGGCCATATTCCTGTGTCAACTATCACACCTCAATGGCATAATTCATCATAAGAAATCATGGACCATTCAATCTACAACGGAATGATCTACGTAGACAAGCTCTCATGGCCTGAAACCTGCCGAACGGACTCCCTGAATAAAACAATGATCCACAAACCACATCCCGATGAACTGCTAATGGAGGAGTTCTGACTGTTTAGAGTGTGAAGATATTCGAGAGAAATTTATTCATCACTGATCATTCATCAATAGCCGCTTCAGTATTGCCCTTGAGACGTCTGAATACACGAGTAGGCATAAAGAGACTGTAGAGCAATGGATACCCTTGTAATGGCAAAAGCCATGGCATTTAAAGCGCACACCTGCATCAAGTTGACCGCCATTTGCAGTCTAGCTGCTGGGTTAGCGGATCAGTCCCGATTTTATTATCAATGAGCTACCTGACAGGTATAGTTTCTCAAAATTTTAGACATGTCAGTTGACCTATAATTAGACAATCACCTCATAAGCGATGGTTGCATAGGGCCACCTTGCTTAAGCTAACTGTGGGCTTGGGTTGATAAACCCTGACCAATGTGCTGAAATACGTGATGACACATCCTTGAGGACTAAAATATACGTCATTTATGCTCAGCAGTGAGTTTAGAAACCGACTCAAATGCACGGTCTGGGATGCATAAGCTATTACTCCACGGTAAAATTGAACGACTAGTCCATCATCCCACAAGACGCTGTGGTTAAATCACCAGAGAATTCAGACAACCCCAGAAAGATAAATTGAAAAGGAGCCGTCGTCGGCCCTCTTAGATGCGACTAGTTAAAATAGATTATGCTTAGTACGATCTCTCCATCATTGACAGGCTACCGATATGTCCAAATTTCCCGCGACAATACTGGTAATTTAATAACGGTGAGCTGGACATGTTTTTCGGACTTGTGTGTTTTCCACAGCGCTGGAATTCGCGCTGGAGAAAAGGGCGAAAGTGTCGGGTTCATTGTCGATAGGTCTCATTTCGGCGTAGTTAAATAGCCGTACGAGCACTAGTTTCTCTTGACAAGGGAAAAATGGACGAGAAGATATTTAAGTGCAGGCAATGGTGCCAAAAAATATGGGCCGCACTCTACGATTAGACCTACAGTTTAGGCGTCTGCCTGGTCGATCGAGTCATTTAACATGTACACAGTGTGTGTGTTTTTAATGTCCTATGAAGTCTATGACTATGTTAGGACATGTAGATCCTTTCTGCCTACGGGCCGGGGGCATCTGTGCCTCCTTCACGACTTCTTTCTAACAGTTATACCCCCACAGGTCTTCATTCGAGCACATACTAATAGGAGCCGTTATCCCGTCAATATCTCCCCTTTCCGGCCAACGAAACGATGGCCATTTGCGGGTGTGTAGCTACAGGGAAAAGTCTCAAAAACCACTGAGTGCGGGGCTCTCCTATGACAAAGAGGCCGGCCAGCCGGGCGCAGCGGACCTGTGTATACCTAAGAGCGTCTCTCAACCTTCCTAGCCTCCTCCTTGCTCCTGATTCATGTCGCAGGACAAACCGAAGGTAGTGAAAGGATGTCAGAAAAGTCTTTGTCGAGAGTGACTGCCGTGAAGGAGCCTAGCGTCGCATCAAATAGTCGTTACGGATGTATGGCCATCGAGTAACTCATGTATATCAGACGCCCTCCTGGCTAGTAGATCCGGAGGTATAGATTAGTAGGGACGATATTTTTGAAGAGTCGAAATTTGCTTTTCTTGAGGGCGGAAGGATCTTTTACTTTGCTTTCGTGGGCTTTTTGTTTGCCCGCCGGTGGGTAGCACATGTTGTGATATAATGAGGGCTTCTATGACTACCGTTGTAGCGTTTGGTACCGCATTATCTTTCCTTATTCCCAGCATCATTATCGTCGTCTTTGTCGCCTTTTGAGTTATCGGAAGCGTATCTTTGACGGAGGGCGAGATAGCTCAGCCCAGAGTTGAAAGGGTGTTCCTCAGTCTGGGCTCTGCAGACCTGACAGTGAGAGCTGGATGCTCGTAGGGGACACCACTGACAGGTGTTGAGAATTGTCCTCCTATCATGTACACAATAAACGCTGTGCAAATAGAGTTCAACACGCTGCACAAGATGGCCGTTGATGTGTAAATCATCCTCGATATCAGATATTCGTGTGGAATGGACTTTACCAATTCGGCATCTTGTGGCATACAGGGGGGGCACTGCAATTAAAATAGAACGAAGATTGGACAACTATCAGCGATGTCTCTTACCAGCCTGGAAATAATATTCCCCCGAGCTGGGATTAGTCAATTGTGGGAATTTAGAAGAAGCTGGCCCATGGGGATGCATTGAAATCTACACAAGTCGCTAAACCTCACCCTCAAAGGGATCCATTCTCTTACTGGACCTTGTCGGGTCTTCACGTACAATGCAGTCCATCTTGGTTTAATGGTCACCCCTCTTTTTAGCTAGCCTCAAGGTAGACGCCCACAAGAGGGATAGCAAATGAATGACAAGAGCTGAAGCGCATCTGTGGTATAGACATGATGCTGAAG